ACGGGGCCCGAAGCCTGTGATTGGTTTCGGAAATATTTTGCATAAATTCCTTAAACCAATCACTAGTTTGGAGGTCCAATGGATTCACGAATTCGGCACAATATACGGGTATTTCGGACACAAAAATCTATTTTATTAAATCACATCAAAAATATAACTCAATTTTATTGATTAAACTAAAACAGAATTTTTGAAGGCAATCGACCCATACTAACGGTGGCGGACCCGGAGCTCATTAAAAGCATTTTGGTCACAGATTTTCATGTGTTTAATGATAGGGAGGGAAACCCTTTGTTCAATTCGAAAGCCCACCCAATACTGGGCCAAAATCTCGAGGCAATGGCGGGCGACGAGTGGCGTCGGGTGCGGACAGTACTGTCGCCCACTTTCTCGGCCTCACGGATGCGTAAAATGTTTTTCCAAATGAGGGAATGCGTGGACAGTATGGTAACTGAGTTGGACACCCGGGTCACCACCACATCCCAGTCCTACACTGAGGTCGATATCATTGATGTCTTCGACAGATTGTCCGCAGATATCGTCACAACGTGTTTGTATAGCTTTAAACTGAATCCATGGGCCGATACGAGTGCTAATCAGTTTGTGGTGAACGTCACCCACGTATTCACTCCGAGTCGACTGCGCCTATTGCTGTACACACTATTACCTAAATATATGCTGACCGCCCTGGGAGTCAAACACCCGGTGCGGGACTCGGCCAATGAGTACTTCATTTCGATGACCCGTCATATGATTGCTGAGAGAAAGCGAAATACGAGTAATAATTACAACGATTTCATAGATTTAGCCATAAATGCGGGCAATAATAACACAGAGGGTTACAGTCAGGGCACTGGTGACCACAATATAAGTGCCACAAATGGTAAGTTTTATAACAAGATAATTTCATAGATAAATTATATTTACAATTTAATTAGCATGGTTCTAAATTATTGATATGTTATATAAAGTTTATAATTTGTTGCACGTACGTAGAACTTGTAAATAGATAAAACTGGTTAGATTTATAAAGTAGGTTGCTAAAATAGTATTTAATATAACTCATGTCTTGTTTTATAAATTATAAAATTTCCAAGTTAAATATTTAACACACAATTTGTTGTAATTTTTTATTTCACAATTCATATCAAACTTTAGGTTCAGATAGTGTTAAGAAAGGCATCAAAAGAGGGGACAGTTATATGTCTGAAGACGAGGCGTTGGCCAACAGTTGGATATTTCTGAACACTGGGTGTAAAGTGGTGTCAACAGCCCTGGCATTCCTGGTCTACGAGTTAGCCCTACATCCCAATCATCAGCAAAGACTATACGAAGAAGTGAAGGGCTGTGTCGGCACTGGAGATAAGGGAATAGACTTCGAGTCCATATCTCAGATGCCTTTCCTCGAGGCCGTCATCAATGAGTCTCAACGCCTGCACACCATTTCCATACGTATGAGACGTACGGCAGTAGCCGACTATATGTTGGGCGACACCGGTATCACCATTCGTAAGGGCGATGCGGTTGAAATCCCGGTGCATGGGGTACACCAATATGAGCACTATTACCCCAACTCCAATGTGTTCAACCCCTACAGGTTTATGCCCCACAATAAGGACAAACTGGTGCCCAACACATACATCCCTTTTAGTTTAGGAAACCGTCAGTGCATTGCTATGCGATTCGTGTTACTGGAGCTCAAGACTACACTCATTCATCTCATAATGAGGTATAAGTTTGTGACGACTGTCCACACCGACCGTCCCCTACGACTACTGTCCAGTATTTTCCATCACTCACCACAACGTCTACTGTTAGGCCTGGAAAGGCGTGTTGCAGGAAATTAATTTTGAATGTACCGAGGGCTAATTTGCCAGATAAATTTAATTTTTACCCAGTTATTATCGCATACCAGTCCCCCTCAATTTTTGCACTTAAGTAATGTTATAAAAATTTATTTCCTATCCTTAAATTTCTCGTCAAATAATTGGTGAGAGAAAGTGAAATACGAGTCATAATTATTTGCAACAAATTAATGATAACACCGGCTATTGAGGCGATTATGAAAAACAATTAACAAAACTTGTATTATTTGATTAAATATTATGATATGTATTTACATTGTAAACTACAATATGTATTTAACTATATTTAATATTATAATGATATAAACTTAAGAAAAATATACTTATATTATTTAATTTTCTTAATTAACCAACGTTAGAATAGAAAAAATAAAATTTCAAATTAGCTATTAAATTTTAATGGTATCATGCGAATGTAATAAAATTTTATCCACTATTGTTTATAATGAACTTTGAATTTGTGTAATTTAATATTAAGGGGAATATATTTTTAATAAAAGTTTTGAAATTATATTAACTAATAATTTAAATACTATTATGACTATTATGATAAAATAATAAAAATGAAAACAAAGTCAACTTATAATGAAAACTATAATTTAGTGATCATTGATTGGATTGATTGATGTGATTGCTGCAATATTTATGAATTGCACAAATTATTTGCCCTTTGAACATTAAAAAATAAAACAATTGTTGGCAACCAAATCACTTATAATTCATAAATTCTTAAAATTAAATTAAGTTTTACAAAAAATAATTATAAGCAATTATTAACATAATCTTAAAATTCCCCATATATCATTACGGTATATTATATTTTGATTGACATGACAGTATATAACATTATACAGTAGCGTATTTTTGAAATTAAATTGACAACTAATTTAAATAATAATATTATAATGATAAAATTATAAAAATAAAAGCAAAGTAAACGTATAGTAACTTATGATGACAGCTATCATTTAATTAAATGACTCTGGGTAGATGTAGTGTTTAAGAATTATATAAATTGAAAATTATTTCCTTTTTGAACATTATGAAATTAAAAATTGTTTGCATTCAAATCAGTATAATAAATAAATCTTATAAACATTGAAATAAGTTTTACAAAATTAATTATAAGAAATTGTTAACATACAGTCATTTTAATTCCCATACATATATTTTGCAAACTACAATTTCACATTTAATTATATTAATGGCAGTGATTTAACAGAGACTACATTTTTGACAACTTCAGAAAATGTTTAACAATATTAAATCTATACAGGTAGTATATGATTTGTGGATTATTATAGTTCCATGTATATTATACATTGTATACAGGTAAATCCACACTATTTACAAAATTTAAAGGTGGATGAT